GCGCTGCATCTGGATGAGCATTTTCCTGTTGATTAATGGCCTTGTACAACTCATTCAGTGCAATCTTAATGCCAGCATTGGTTTGTGGTGGTAAATAGACAGCAATGAAAAATATAGATGAAAACTCTCTTGGTAAATAGTGTGGTCTACAGCTTATCATAAGATACTCTACCTCAGGCGAGCAAAACCTCGAGACTTCCTTAGTATTGATTTTGTGCACCAGCTGTTGTTTACAAATATACACAGACCGCCACCCCTTGTCTTACCGGAGTCAGCCGTTTCTGTCCTGCCGATGTAGCGTATAGCCTGCTAGCTGAATGTTATCATTGTCGTCGTTCAGCCACGACTCGGTGAAACATAAGATATTACAGTTTTTAATGTCCCGTTGGTAGGATAACCGTAATCTTAAGTCATCCACTTTATTTCAAAAGATTGAACGTTGGCTAATAGGATTGATGGAAGAGGCAGTTTAACCTCGCTCGCCGTCGGATCCTTACAAGGCACCCCGACCTACGTCCACGATATCTCCGTCTCTTCCTCACGCGAATGACGGGGATTTGGGCCTTGTCGGGTGTCTGTATGATATCCTTCGCGGCCGCCTCGTTGAAGAAAAAATATTCGTCCAATACGAGGTGAGTAATCGCTGTCCTGATATCCAGAAGCTATTTTTGGTTATAAGAGACGATGGCAGAAACATTATGTACAAAATAAAATACAAATAACGCGGAAAAACACACATAATAGTACAATTGGTTAGAGGGCTGTAAAACGGCAGCCATCTTCTCCGGCGCTGTTTAATAGGGGGAGGGGCTGACTAGTCCTTGGCTCAGAGGGGGAGGGGCTGACTAGTCCATGGCTCAGAGGGGGAGGGGCTGACTAGTCCTTGGCCCAGAGGGGGAGGGGCTGACTAGTCCTTGGCCCAGAGGGGGAGGGGCTGACTAGTCCTTGGCCCAGAGGGGGAGGGGCTGACTAGTCCATGGCTCAGAGGGGGGAGGGGCTGACTAGTCCTTGGCCCAGAGGGGGAGGGGCTGACTAGTCCTTGGCCCAGAGGGGGAGGGGCTGACTAGTCCTTGGCCCAGAGGGGGGAGGGGCTGACTAGTCCTTGGCCCAGAGGGGGAGGGGCTGACTAGTCCTTGGCCCAGAGGGGGAGGGGCTGACTAGTCCTTGGCTCAGAGGGGGAGGGGCTGACTAGTCCATGGCTCAGAGGGGGAGGGGCTGACTAGTCCTTGGACATTGTCCTTTGTGCTTTCCTTGTGTTCCAGGACCGTTTACCAGTTCCACTTGCAGTTCCATGTGACAGAGAACACATACATTAGGGCCGAGCCTACAAGTGTCAGTCAGTCAGTCAGTTAGTTAGTCAATCAGTCAGTCAGTTGGTCAGTCTGTCAGTCAGTCAGTTAGTTAGTGACTTACTGACTGACTGTCAACCATTAATCAATCACTCTTTCCCTTATCTCTCTCTCTCTCTCTCTCTGTCTCTCTCTCTCTCCCTCCCTCTCTCTCTCTCTCTCTCTCCCTCCCTCCCTCTCTCTCTCTCTCTCCCTCTGGATCAATCTTGTGGTTTAGGGCCCGTCCTCCCTCTCTCTCTCTCTCTCTCTCTCTCTCTCTCTCTCTCTCTCTCTCTCTCTGGATCAATCTTGTCGTTTACGGCCCGTCCTCTCTCCCTCTGTCTCTCCCTCTCTCCCTCTGGATCAATCTTGTGGTTTAGGGCCCGTCCTCTCTCTCTCTCTCTCTCTCTCCCTCTCTCCCTCTGGATCAATCTTGTCGTTTACGGCCCGTCCTCTCTCCCTCTCTCTCTCTCTCTCTCTCTCTCTCTCTCTCTCTCTCTCCCTCTGGATCAATCTTGTGGTTTACGGCCCGTCCTCCCTCATTCTCTCCATCTGATTAGAAGACATTGTTATCTTCCTGGTCGATTAGCCAATCACACTGTTCTCTCTGCTAATGATCACACTGACAGTTTACGAGAGCAGAGTGTGTGTGTGTGTGTGTGTGTGTGTGTGTGTGTGTGTGTGTGTGTGTGTGTGTGTGTGTTGTAAGCTAAATTGGAAGTGAATGAATGGACTCCACGGCCCCCAGAGCTGTTGCTAGGGCAACATCATTTTATTGACATGGAATGCACCACACACACACACACACACAACACACATCAGACCTGGCTTTAAAATACTTTGAGGGTTTGCTTGAGTCTGATTGGCAGATTGAAAGGTTGTAGTTTTGGTACTTTTCTGTTGGTTTATTAAGTCTGCAATAACAAGAGATTGAAAATGCAAACTTTGAAAGGTCACACCCCTCACCCCGTTTGGCATGAAGTTATGAAAGTCGGTTCATAAAGTCGTCCCTCTCCTCACGAGGAACAAATTTGCCTTAGGGACCCATGAGGTCCGCCGTGATGGATTTTCCTCCAATTTGAATTTTGTGGAAAAATACTTAAAAACACTACTCCTCTGGCACCGAATTACCGATCTGCACGAAACTTGGTATGTGGCATCTATGTACAACATAGTAATCAACATATCAACTCAGTCAATCAATCAGTCAGCCAATCAGACGGTCTCTCGATGCAATAGCGCCTACGAGAACATGGCTGCTATTGACCAATGAACATTCACGTGGGCGTGGCCTGGCACATAAATACATGTAAATCAGTCAATGATATTAATATTGGTACACGATTTGGTACACGTGTAAACGTGTTACAAACACTGTCCAGACTCAACCACATGGCTGCGCTATAATGGATAACATATTTATAACTCTGTTTAGGGATTTTAGTCTGCATTTTAGTCATTTAGCAGACGCTCTTATCCAGAGCGACTTACAGTTAGTGAGTGCATACATTATTTTCAGTATTTTTCATACTGGCCCCCCGTGGGAATCGAACCCATAACCCTGGCGTTGCAAACGCCATGCTCTACCAACTGAGCTACATCCCTGCCGGCCATTCCCCTCCCCTACCCTGGATGACGCTGGGCCCCGTGGGTCTCCTAGCGATATCTCAGACACAACCGGCCCGAATTTGACTAAACTTAGGTGAAGGTCCGGCATTCAAAAAACTATTCTTAATAGGGGGGCGCTGCATCAATTGTGGGGGAGACATTTTTTTCTGTTGCCTTGTTTATGCTGGTGATTGAGTCCATCAGCTGTTCCGGATGACTGTGTGATCACGCTCTCCATAGCCGATGTAAGTAAGACCTTTAAACAGGTCAACATTCACAAGGCCGAAGGGCCAGACGGATTACCAGGACCTGTACTCCGAGCATGCTCTGACCAACTGGCAAGTCTCTTCACTGACATTTTCAACATGTCCCTGACTGAGTCTGTAATACCAACATGCTCAAGAACACTAAGATAACCTGCCTAAATGACTACCAACCCGTAGCAGTCACGTCTGTAGCCATGAAGTGCTTTGAAAGGCTGGTCATGGCTCACATCAACACCATTATCCCAGAAACCCTAGACCCACTCCAATTTGCATACCGCCCCAACAGATCCACAGATGATGCAATCTCTATTGCACTCCACACTGCCCTTTCCCACCTGGACAAGATGAACACCTACGTGAGAATGCTATTAATTGACTACAGCTCAGTGTTCAACACCATAGTACCCTCAAAGCTCATCACTAAGCTAAGGACCCTGGGATTAAACACCTCCCTCTGCAACTGGATCCTGGACTTCCTGATGGGCCGCCCCCAGGTGGTAAGGGTAGGTAACAACACATCTGCCACGCTGATCCTCAACACGGGGGCCCCTCAGGGGTGCATGCTCAGTCCCCTCCTGTACTCCCTGTTCACCCATGACTGCATGGCCAAGTACGACTCCAACACCATCATTAAGTTTGACGAATACACAACAGTGGTAGGACTGATCACAGACAACGATGAGACAGCCTATAGGGAGGAGGTCAGGGACCTGGCCGTGTGGTGCCAGGATAACAACCTCTCCCTCAACGTGATCAAGACAAAGGAGATGATTGTGGACTACAGGGAAAAAAAAGAAGACAGAGCACGCCCCCATTCTTATTAATGGGGCTGTAGTGGAACAGGTTGAGAGCTTCAAGTTCCTTGGTGTCCACATCACCAACAAACTATAATGGTCCAAACACACCAAGACAGTCGTGAAGAGGGCACGACAAAGCCTATTCCCCCTCAGGAGACTGAAAAGATTTGGCATGGGTCCTCAGATCCTCAAAAAGTTATACAGCTGCACCATCGAGAGCATCCTGACTGGTTGCATCACTGCCTGGTATGGCAACTGCTCAGCCTCTGACCGCAAGGCACTACAGAGGGTAGTGCGTATGGCCCAGTACATCACTGGGGCCAAGCTTCCTGCCATCCAGGACCTCTATTCCAGGCGGTGTCAGAGGAAGGCCCTAAAAATTGTCAAAGACTCCAGCCACCCTAGTCATAGACTGTTCTCTCTGCTACCGCACGGCAAAGCGGTACCGGAGTGCCAAGTCTAGGTCCAAAAGGCTTTTTAACAGCTTCTACCCCCAAGCCATAAGACTCCTGAACAGCTAATCATGGCTACCCAGACTATTTGCATTGTCCCCCCACCCCCACCCCATCTTTTTACGCTGCTGCTACTCTGTTAATTATCAATGCATAGTCACTTTAACTCTACCTACATGTACATATTACCTCAATTACCTCGACTAACCTGTGTCCCCGCACATTGACTCTGTACCGGTACCCCCTGTATATAGCCTACCTACTGTTATTTTATTTTACTGCTGCTCTTTAGTTATTTGTTATTTTCATTTTTTTCTCATCTATTTTTTTACTTAACACTTATTTTTTTCTTAAAAACTGCATTGTTGGTTAAGGGCTTTTTAAAATAAGCATTTCACTGTAAGGTCTACACCTGTTGTATTCGGCGCGTGTGGTAAATACAATTTGATTTGATTAGATTTTTCTAGAAACAGAACTGCCTCCCCAAAAATGTAACAATAAAGTTTTGTTTATTTGAAGGTGTTAGAGGCCAGGAGGAGGACCATACCAGTGCTGATAGCCAGGGAGCGAGCCTCCATTTTTCCCCCCCATCTTGCACACCATTTCTGGGGAGGGCCCGATGAACCGGACCCCTGAATCACCACAGGCCTGGGCAACGTCTCTCAGATAGAAACCTGGGTGGAGGGGGAGAAAGAGAGAGACAGAGAGACAGACAGAGAAGAGAGATAAGAAGAGAGAGAGAGGGGGGTGGGGGGGGGGGTGGGGGGGGGTGGGGGGGGCGGGAGTAGAGAGAAGAGAGAGAGAGCGAGAGAGAGAGGAGAGATCTAATTATTAACGGCCTGTTCTCGAGAGAGAGAGAGGGTTACATTCATTAACGGCCCTCCTGAAGCCAATGATGATTTAAATGTTTCTAATTCTCAACTTTACCTTATTCAAAAGCTATAATAGCTTACCAATAGCTTGTGTTCAATGTTACATGTACAACCAATATGGATATAAAGGCTCTTTTGATATCGATACAAAACAGCCATCAACTTAATCCTCATCATCACACAAACACACACGCACGCGCACGTTCACGCACAGCTACAGTGATGTAACACACACACACACACACAGAGAAATATAATGAAAACGCTCATTATTAGGGCTGGGATGATACCAGCGATATTCCTTAGTGACGTGGCGAGGAAACAAAACAAAGTGGATTTAACTTCTTTAGGAACACATTCCTAATGTTGGAAACAAACATCATTACGTTGTCATCCAGAGTCACATTTATTTATTTTCCAAGCACACAATTTTTTACATACAGCAGGTTTTTAAAACACCAAAGAGTTAGGTCTGCTTCATGTTTTCTTTTTTTTATATATATATTGCAATACTGGCCTTACTCATAATAACGTCATAATCACCTAGTGTAGAGACTAGACCTGAACCACCCTGACACCATCTGGCCTTAGTTACGGAGAAGGCTCATTATGGGCTGTCCTGCTGTTAGGGAAGACGGTTGGCAGGGCGCTCCGCAACAGAAGACGGTGATAGGAATGGATGCTCGGGGACACACACACACACACACACACAGACACACACACACACACACACACACACACACAGACACAGACACAGACACAGACACAGACACACACACACACACACACACACACACACAGACACAGACACAGACACACACACACAGACAGACAGACACACACACACACACACACACTCACACACATACACACACACACACACACAGCCACAGACACAGACACACACACACATACACACACACACACACAGACACACACAGACACACACACAAATAGGTGGACACACACATACAACGCTGGGTATGGTCCCAGACAAAACAAAATGCAATATTCTGTCAAGCAGGACAATGAGAGATGACTTGGGTTGTGTCCCACCCTATTCCCTATATAGTGCAGAGCACTGGAGCCTGGTCATAAGTAGTGCACTATATAGGGAATATGGTGCCATTTGGGACACAGCCTTGGACTAAGAAGGACCTGGCTGGGCTGCCAGATCAGATACCAGAGCAGAAATGATACTAAGAACAGATTCATCTGAACAGGCGGTAATGGGACTACTGGTTATATGGGGTCTGGGGTCTGGGGGGCTGAGAGGGAGAGATAGAGGAATGGAGGGAAGGATAGATGGGATGGCGGATAGAGTAGAGCATGGAGGGATGGAGGGAGAGATGGAGGGAATGGAGGGAAGGATAGGGGATTGGAGGAGAAGATAGAGGCCATGAGGGATGGAGGGAGAGATGGAGGGATGGAGGGAAGGATAGAGGGATGGAGGAGAGAGGAGGAGGGCTAGGGAGGGAGGGAGGAAGAGAGGGAGGGAATGGAGGGAAGGAGGAGAGGGAAGGGAGGGAGAGGGAGGAGGAGGGAGGAAGAGGAGGGTGGAGGGAGAGGGATGGAGGGATGGAGGGAGGGAGGGAGGGAGGGAGGGAGGGAGGGAGGAAGGGAGGGAGGGAGGGAGGGAGGGCTAGGAGGAGGGAGGGAGGCAGGGAGGAAGGGAGGGAGGCAGGGAGGCAGGGAGGGAGGCCAGGGAGGGAGGGAGGGAGGGAGGCAGGGAGGGAGGCAGGGAGGAAGGGAGGGAGGCAGGGAGGCAGGGAGGGAGGCAGGGAGGCAGGGAGGCAGGGAGGCAGGGAGGAAGGGAGGGAGGCAGGGAGGCAGGGAGGGAGGCAGGGAGGCAGGGAGGAAGGGAGGGAGGCAGGGAGGCAGGGAGGCAGGGAGGGAGGGAGGGGGGATAGCAATAAGCTTCTGGCTAGATGGTGCCAAGGGCCTTGGGGTACATACCTAATACCTCGTTCCATCCTTTTAAATCCAGGCATGTGTATAGGCTTAGATTCCAGCACAGCACTAACACACTGAGGGTTAGAGTTCAGACTCACCTTAGCTACTTTAATGATGTCAGATATATGCAGGTAGGCATTTAGCAGACGCTCTTATCCAGAGCGACTTTCAGTTGGTGCATTAATCTTAAAACAGCTAGGTGGGACAACCACATATCACAGGCATAGAAAGTACATGTATCATCAATAACGTAGCTATCAGTAGTCAGAGCTAGTTATCGGTAGTCAAGTGCATGTTTTTTTTTTTTTTTTTTTTTTTGGGGGGGGGGGGGTCGAGGTGAGGAGGAGGATTATTTAAGATACTGTTTGAAGGGTTTCAGATGTTTTCAGAAGATGGGCAGGGATTCTGCTGTCCTAGCTTCAGAGGGAAGCTGGTTTTCCACCATTGGGGTGCCAGGACAGAGAAGAGCTTGGACTGGGCTGAGCGGGAGCTGCCTTCTGGTAGGGGTGGGAGGGCCAAGAGACCAGAGGTGGCAGAACAGAGTACTCAGGTTGGGGTGTAGGGTTTGAGCATAGCCTAAAGGTAGGGAAGGGCAGTTCCTCTTGCTCTTCCGTAGGTAAGTACCATGGTCTTGTAGTGGATGCGAGCTTCGACTGGAAGCCAGTGGAGTGTGCGGAAAAGCGGGGTGACATGAGAGAACTTGGGAAGGTTGAACACCAGATGGGCTGCAGCGTACTGGATAAGTTGCAGGGGTTGGTGGCACAAGCGGGGAGCCCAGCCAACAGCGAGTTGCAGTAGTCCAGATGGGAGAGGACAAGTGCCTGGATTAGGACCTGAGGTAGGGTCATACTCTACGGATGTTGTAGAGCATGAACCTGCAGGAGCGGGTCATTGCTTTGATGTTTGCAGAGAATGACAGGGTGTTGTCCAGGGTCAAGCCAAGGTTCTTTGCACTCTGGGAGGGCGACACTGTTGAGCTGTCAACCATGATGAAGAGGTCTTTGAGCGGGCAAGCCTTCCCCAGGAGGAAGAGAAGCTTTGTCTTGTCAAGTTTGAGCTTGAGGTGGTGGGCCAACATCCAAGTTGATATATCTGTCAGGCACGCAGAGATGCGCCACCACCTGGGTGTCAGAAGGGGGGAGGAGAAAAGTAGTTCATCCACATAGCAATGATAGGAGACCATGTGAGGATATGACGGAGCTGAGTGACTTTGTGTATAGAGAGAAGAGGAGAGGGCCTAGAACCGAGCCCTGGGGGACACCAGTAGTGAGAGTACGTGGTGCAGACACAGATCCTCTCCACGTCACCTGGTAGGAGCGGCCTGCCAGGTAGGATGCAATCCAAGACTGTGCAGATCCTGAGACGCCCAGCCCTGAGAGAGTGGAAAGGAGGATCTGATGGTTCACGGTGTCGAGGGGAGTGGATAAATCTAGGAGGATGAGAACAGAGGAGAGAGAGTCAGCTTTGGCAGTGCGGAGAGCCTCCGTGACACAGAGAAGAGCAGTCTCAGTTGAGTGAATGAAGCCTGACTGGTTGGAGTCAAAAAGATAGTTCTGAGAGAGATAGCGAGAGAGTTGATCAGAGACAGAACGCTCAAGTGTTTTAGAAAGAAAAGAAAGAAGTGATACAGGTCTATAGTTTTTGACGTCAGATGAGTTGAGTGTTGGTTTCTTGAGGAGGGGAGCAAATCGGGCCATTTTGAATTCAGAGGGGATGCAGCCAGTGGTCAGGGATGAGCTGATGAGGGAAGTGAGGAATGGGAGAAGGTCTCCAGAGATGGGAGAAGGTAGGAGGGGATGGGCTCCAGCGGGCAGGTTGTCGGGCGGCCAGACCTCACTAGTCGCAGGATGTCATCTGGAGAGAGAGGGGAGAAAGAGGTCAAGGCGTAGGGTAGTTCTGTGTGAGTGAGACCAGTGGACTCAAAAGGCTGAGTGAATGAGTAGCGGATGTCATCAACCTTTATTTTCAAAGTGGTTGACAAAGTCGTCCGCAGAGAGGGAGGGGAACGGGGTGGAGGATTAAGGAGGGAGGAGAAGGTGGAAAATAGTTTCCTAGGGTTAGAGGCAGAAGCTTGACATTTGTAGTGGTAGAATGTGTCTTTAGCAGCGGATGCAGAGGAAGCGAAGGTAGAGAGGAGGGAGGGAAAGGATGATAGATCCTCTGGAAGTTTAGTTTACCGCCATTTTCACTCAGCTGCCCGCAGCCCTGTTCAAATATATGCTAGAACGCGCCAATAGGATCTCACTATCTCATGCTTGTCCTGCCGACTATGATTAATTCGCTTCCATTGTGAATGGGTGGAAGATGGTCGCCTAGCTGTTAGAGCGTTGGGCTATTAACCGAGCCAACAAGGTTGATGTGTTGACGTGCCCTTGAGCAAGGCACTTAACCCTAATTTGCTCCAGGGGTACTGTACTGCTATGGCAGACCCTATAAAGCAACACATTTCACTGTACCTGCTCGCAATGAGTCACTCTGCTACGGAGCAGGAGGGGAGGGCCGAGCCGGCCGGGAGGAAAGAGGACAGTGCGGAAAGAGAGGAGAGTAGGATCAAAGAGGCAGAATCAGGAGACAGGAAGGAGAAGGATTTAGCAGATGGGAGAGATGATAGGATAGAAGAGGAGAGAGAGAACAAAGCTTGTGATAGCGCATGACCATCTAGGTAGGGTTGGAGGAAATAAAGTAGTGATCAGAGACCTGGAGGGGGGTTGCAGTGAGATTAGTAGGCGAACAGCCTCTCTTAAAGATGAGGTCAAGCATTTTTCCTGCCTTGTGAGTTGGAGGGGATTGGGAAAGGGTTATGAATTCTATTTTATTTGTATATAACTCTTATTTTACCAGATAAGTTGACTGAGAACACATTCTCATTTGCAGCAATGACCTGGGGAATAAAGGAGAGGAGGGGGGATGAATGAGCCAATTGGAAGCTGGGGATGATTAGGTGGCCATGATGGTATGAGGGCCAGATTGGGAATTTAGCCAGGACACCGGGTTTAACACCTCTACTCTTACGATAAGTGCCATGGGATCTTTAGTCACCACAGAGAGTCAGGACACCCGTTTAACATCCAATCTGAAAGATGGCACCCTACACAGGGCAATGTCCCCAATCACTGCCCTGGGGCATTGGGATATTTTGTTTTAGACTGGCCCTCCAACACCACTTCCACCAACCCTGCTTAGATTCAGAGGCAAGACAGCAGTGGAATGCAGGGTGGTATGCTGCCTACATAAGACTGTCAAAATCCACAAAACCACACAAGGCAAAACATTCCATTACACCATAGCCTACTTGTCACCAGTATGTTTATGTTATATACCATTTTCTGAAATTGACCATGTTAAATTATATAATTGTAATTGCGCACACACTGGTGTCAGACATGCACCTACCGCAATGTTCCTGATGAATGCAGGAGCAGATTTCAGGAGCAGGACAAAACACCCTATTTTTTGATGACTGACATAAGGGCCTGTACATAATAGGCCATCTGGCTTACATGATTATGATGGTTACAATGCAGCCCGTCTGGTGTTCAACCTTCCCAAGTTCTCTCACGTCACCCCGCTCCTCCGCACACTCCACTGGCTTCCAGTTGAAGCTCGCATCTGCTACAAGACCATGGTGCTTGCCTACGGAGCTGTGAGGGGAACGGCACCTCCATACCTTCAGGCTCTGATCAGTCCCTACACCCAAACAAGGACATTGCGTTCTTCCACCTCTTGCCTACTGGTCCCCCTACTTCTGCGAAGCACAGTTCCCGCTCAGCCCAGTCAAAACTGTTCGCTGCTCTGGCACCCCAATGGTGGAACAAGCTCCCTCACGACGCCAGGACAGCGGAGTCACTGACCACCTTCCGGAGACACTTGAAACCCCACCTCTTTAAGGAATACCTGGGATAGGATAAAAGTAATCCTTCTACCCCCCCCACCCCCCCACCCCACCCCCACAAAATATATTTTTAAAAATTATAATAATACAAATAAAAAAAACAAATAAAAAAAAGATTTGTAAATTGTATTGTAAAGTGGTTGTCCCACTGGCTATCATAAAGTGAATGCACCAATTTGTAAGTCGCTCTGGATAAGAGCTGTCAGAAGAACCGATGTGGATGTGGTGGAGGAGTCAGGCGCAGGACACAGAGGTTTCGTCCAAAAGACTTTAATAGTCCCAAGTGCAACAAAATACACGACCTCGAAAACAGACGGAGGCGAGGCAATTACGCAAACATGCGTAAAACAATAATCCAAAGAAATAGACAGAGTGCAAACACGCAGCTCCGCACGACAGGCAGAAATAACAACACACAATGAAACTAATACAAAACAAGGAACTTATAGGACACGTAATCAGGACACAAACAGATACAGGTGTACAAGACAGACCAAAGCAATCACACCACGAAACATACAACGGTGGCAGCTAGTATTCCGGGGACGGCGAACGCCGAGGCCTGCCCGAACCAGGAGGAGGAGCAGTCTCGGCCGAAACCATGACAAGAGCATCTGCTAAATGACGTAAATGTAAATGTTAAATAATGCTTCATGACAGTGTCATAAAGCTTATTTTCTTAGTCCAAGTAAAGTGACACAGGACGGTCATAATGCTTCTTGACAGTGTCATAAAGCTTATTTTCTTAGTCCAAGTAAAGTGACACAGGACGGTCATAATGCTTCTTGACAGTGTCATAAAGCTTATTTTCTTAGTCCAAGTAAAGTGACACAGGACGGTCATAATGCTTCTTGACAGTGTCATAAAGCTTATTTTCTTAGTCCAAGTAAAGTGACACAGGACGGTCATAATGCTTCTTGACAGTGTCATAAAGCTTATTTTCTTAGTCCAAGTAAAGTGACACAGGACGGTCATAATGCTTCTTGACAGTGTCATAAAGCTTATTTTCTTAGTCCAAGTAAAGTGACACAGGACGGTCATAATGCTTCTTGACAGTGTCATAAAGCTTATTTTCTTAGTCCAAGTAAAGTGACACAGGACGGTCATAATGCTTCTTGACAGTGTCATAAAGCTTATTTTCTTAGTCCAAGTAAAGTGACACAGGACGGTCATAATGCTTCTTGACAGTGTCATAAAGCTTATTTCTTAGTCCAAGTAAAGTGACACAGGACGGTCATAATGCTTCTTGACAGTGTCATAAAGCTTATTTTCTTAGTCCAAGTAAAGTGACACAGGACGGTCATAATGCTTCATGACAGTGTCATAAAGCTTATTTTCTTAGTCCAAGTAAAGTGACACAGGACGGTCATAATGCTTCATGACAGTGTCATAAAGCTTATTTCTTAGTCCAAGTAAAGTGACACAGGACGGTCATAATGCTTCATGACAGTGTCATAAAGCTTATTTTCTTAGTCCAAGTAAAGTGACACAGGACGGTCATAATGCTTCTTGACAGTGTCATAAAGTGTATTTTCTACAAGTTCTTTAAAAATATGATGATGACTGTACAGAATTCATTACAACAACAACAAAGGGATTTAAGAAACAAACTTTCAAACGAAAGGAAACTTCTTGGCAGGGAAAAAAACACATTTGTAATAAATGTTTTGACACTCTTCTGTAGGTCTCATAACCAGCCATTGGCACCCTTTCTAAAGATGAGCAAAAAAGACTGCATCCTGAACTGTACCAAGTATCAGGACATGTAAGCCAAAAACCTGCTTTCCTCTGCCAGGAGGCTGGAACATGGCCGAAAGTGGATCTTCCAGCAAGACATTAACCCCAAGCACTCATCAAAATCTACAATTAAATGGTTAACTTTCCACAAGTTTAACATTTTACTTAGTCTCCGGACTTGAACCCCATTTGAAAACCTGTGGTTTGAATTGAAGAGGGTAGTCCATAAGTGCAAATGAAGGATATCAAGGATCTGGAAAGATTCTGTACACAGCATGATGCTGTCACCACCATGCTTCACCGTAGGGATGGTGCCAGGTTTCCTCCAGACGTGACGCTTAGCATTCTGGCCAAAATGTTCAATCTTGGGTTCATCAGATCAGAGAATCTTGTTTCTCATGGTCTGAGAGTCTTTAGGTGCCTTTTGGCAAACTCCAAGCGGGCTGTCATGTGCCTTTTACTGAGGAGTGCCTTCCATCTGGCCACTCTACCATAAAGGCCTGATTGGTGGAGTGCTGCAGAGATGGTTATCCTTCTGGAAGGTTCTCCCATCTCCACAGAGGAACTCTGGAGCTCTGTCAGAGTGACCATCGGGTTCTTGGTCACCTCCCTGACCAAGGCTCTTCTCCCCCAATTGTTCAGTTTGGCCGGGCGGCCAGCTCTAGGAAGAGTCTTGGTGGTTCCAAACTTCTTCCATTTAAGCTTTGAGCTGGGCTAGGTGTCTGTGTAGCTTTGAGCTGGGCTAGGTGTCTGTGTAGCTTTGAGCTGGGCTAGTTGTCTGTGTAGCTTTGAGCTGGGCTAGGTGTCTGTGTAGCTTTGAGGTGTCTGTGTAGCTTTGAGCTGCGCTAGGTGTCTGTGCAGCTTTGAGCTGGGCTAGGTGTCTGTGTAGCTTTGAGCTGCGCTAGTTGTCTGTGTAGCTACCATCTAGCTATAGCCAAGTGATGGTATATCATGAGATCTAATGCAATGAAATGGTTAGATACATGACGCAATAGGATATCATGTGTAACCCAGATGAATTGTAATGTGCTGGAAAATACAGTAGACCTTAGGTATTGCCATGTGTTGTGACAGAATGAGCTCTAATGCAATGTGATAAAGGCTGTCAAAATTCAAGATAATATAATATTGGATAAGATGTCTGTAATGTGTTGGGACATAAACCACTGCCATGAGATGTGATGCAATCTGATGTCCAGTCTTGTCAAGTGATGTCACTCATGGCCATAGTTATAATGTCTTGTCTTGTCATGTTGTGGGCTGAGCCTTACCTCTGTTGGCCATTATTACCTTTTTGATTGGTTAATACTCAAGGTTCTGGGGGGACAAATGGGCGGAGCGAGAGAGAAGATACGCCCTCTTCACCGCCAGCAACCCCAGACCTCCTCGGGACCCAACCCCGGGCAACGGCACAGCAACATCCGGATGGAGAGCGAGAGCGAGAGAGGGATGACTTCTGATTGTACATTGGAGACGATCCGGATTTGAGACGATGGAGACTGAGAGGAAGGACGGAGTAGATGCGAGAGGTGTAGAGAGAGGGGAGAGGCCAGGAGAGAAGAGGAGAGGAGAGGAAGAGGAGAGATGAGAGAGACGAGAGGAGGGAGAGGGAGAGAGAGAGAGAAGAGAGAGATGGAGAGAGATGAGAGAGGAGAGAGAGAGAGGGAGAGAGAGAGGTATGAGAGAGAGGAGAGAGAGAGGAGAAGAGGAGAAGAGAGAGAGAGAGAGAGGAGAGAGAGAGAGAGATGTCTTAAACAATGTTTTCAACCAATGCAAAAAATTTATGGACAACCAGAACAAGCCTGTTGGCATTTGTCAGCAGTGCCATGAAACTCCCAGTGCCAATGAGAGAGGGGAGGGACTGAGGAAGCACCTTTTATCACTTGTGGCTGAGTGGCGCAGTGGTCTAAGGCTCTGCAGTGCTAGCTGTGCCACTAGAGATCCTGGTTCGAATCCAGGCTCTGTCGTAGCCGGCCGCGACCGGGAGACCCACGGGGCGGCGCACAATTGGTCCAGGGTAGGAGAGGGAATGGCCGGCAGGGATGTAGTTCAGTTGGTAGAGCATGGCGTTTGCAACGCCAGGGTTGTGGGTTCGATTCCCATGGGGGGCCAGTGTATAAAAAAGAATGTATGCACTCACTAAATGTAAGTTGCTCTGTAAATGTCTATGCCTAAGACATTCATTGCATTAGTCATTTTACCCAGCACTAACCTCCAATTTATTTTATTTTATTTTATTTCACCTTTATTTAACCAGGTAAGCCAGTTGAGAACAGGTTCTCATTTACAACTGCGACCTGGCCAAGATAAAGCAAAGTAGTGCAATAAAAACAACACAGAGTTACATATGGGGTAAAAAACATAAAGTCAGAAATACAACAGAAAATATATATACAGTGTGTGCAAATGTAGCAAGTTATGGAGGTAAGGCAATAAATAGGCTATAGTGCAGAATAATTACAATAGTATTAACACTGGAATGCTAGATGTGCAAGAGATTATGTGCAAATAGTGATACTGGGGTGCAAAAGAGCAAAATAAATAACAATATAGGGATGAGGTAGTTGGGTGGGCTAATTTCAGATGGGCTGTGTACAGGTGCAGTGATCGGTAAGGTGCTCTGACAACTGATGCTTAAAGTTATTGAGGGAGATAAGAGTCTCCAGCTTCAGAGATTTTTGCAATTCGTTCCAGTCATTGGCAGCAGAGAACTGGAAGGAATGGCAGCCAAAGGAGGTGTTGGCTTTGGGAATGACAAGTGAGATATACCTGCTGGAGCGCAGACTACGGGTGGGTGCTGCTATGGTGACCAATGAGCTAAGATAAGGCGGGGATTTGCCTAGCAGTGATTTATAGATGGCCTGGAGCCAGTGGGTTTGACGACGAACATGTAGTGAGGACCAGCCAACAAGAGCGTACAGGTCACAGTGGTGGGTAGTATATGGGGCTTTGGAGACAAAACGGATGGCACTGTGATAGACTACATCCAATTTGCTGAGTACAGTGTTGGAGGCTATTTTGTAAATGACATCGCCGAAGTCAAGGATCGGTAGGATAGTCAGTTTTACGAGGGCATGTTTGGCAGCATGAGTGAAGGAGGCTTTGTTGCGAAATAGGAAGCCGATTCTAGATTTAACTTTGGATTGGAGATTCTTTATGTGAGTCTGGAAGTTGAGTTTACAGTCTAACCAGACACCTAGGTATTTGTAGTTGTCCACATACTCTAGGTCAGACCCGTCGAGAGTGGTGATTCTAGTCGGGTGGGCGGGTGCCGGCAGCGTTCGATTGAAAAGCATGCATTTAGTTTTACTAGTGTTTAAGAGCAGTTGGAGGCTACTGAAGGATTGTTGTATGGCATTGAAGCTCGTTTGGAGGTTTGTTAACACAGTGTCCAATGAAGGGCCAGATGTATACAAAATGGTGTCGTCTGCGTAGAGGTGGATCTGAGAGTCACCAGCAGCAAGAGCGACATCATTGATATACACGGAGAAAAGTGTCGGCCCAAGAATTGAACCCTGTGGCACCCCCATAGAGACTGCCATAGGTCCAGACAACAGGCCCTCCGATTTGACACACTGAACTCTATCTGGGAAGTAGTTGGTGAACCAGGCGAGGCAGTCATTTGAGAAACCAAGGTGTGTCCAACTACCGACACACTGACACACAGCCATCAAGATCTGACTACTACCTCAGCACACACACTCATCTCATCATCTGTAGCTCAATCGGTAGAGCACGGTGCTTGTAACGCCAGGGTAGTGGGTTCGATCCCCGGTACCACCCATACGTAAAAATGTATGCACACATGACTGTAAGTCGCTTTGGATAAAAGCGTCTGCTAAATGGCATATTATTATCTCACCTCATCTCATCTCAGTAGCTGTTCAGCTGTAAATGTGAATGTCTGCCAAGTGTGCACTACCACATCCATGTCATCATAGACATTCCTTCCTAGGTTAATGCTCCTTCTACTGTCTGAGTGATGCTGATGGATCTGTTTTACAGGCCTCTGCTGCCACCCTGTGGTGATCACTGGTACTACACTACAATCAATTGGCTCCACAGAGGTCAATGGGAGAGTATGATGTGGAAAAAGGCTTCAAACTGACTAATAACCTTCACTTTTAGTGAACACACGCAATAAAACAAACACACACATACACAATCTTGGCGGGATGGGGAAGGGGTTCGGTAAGACCCTCTAAGAACAGACAGATGAGATGGTCACGGTAAGGTCTGGTACTGGTCCAGTATGGCTTTCTGTTATAAACAGGGAACACACACACAGCCGTGCAGTAGCGAACACACGCACAGGGTCATAGACTGACAACTACACTTACACGTTGGAAAGAGAAACGGCCTAAGAAAATATGTACCAGTCTGAATAGAGAATAGAGACAGCCCATTGGACTAGAGAACAGAGACAGCCCATTGGACTAGAGAATAGAGACAGCCCATTAGACTAGAGAATAGAGACAGACCACGAGACTAGAAGAGTTAATAGAGACAGCCCATTGGACTAGAGAATAGAGACAGCCCATTAGACTAGAGAATAGAGACAGACCATTAGACTAGAGAATAGAGACAGCCCATTAGACTAGAGAATAGAGACAGCCCATTAGACTAGAGAATAGAGACAGCCCATTAGACTAGAGAATAGAGACAGCCCATTAGACTAGAGAATAGAGACAGCCCATTAGACTAGAGAATAGAGACAGACCATTAGACTAGAGAATAGAGACAGACCACGAGACTAGAAGAGTTAATAGAGACAGCCCATTGGACTAGAGAATAGAGACAGCCCATTAGACTAGAGAATAGAGACAGACCACGAGACTAGAAGAGTTAATAGAGACAGACCATTAGACTAGAGAATAGAGACAGCCCATTAGACTAGAAGAGTTAATAGAGACAGCCCATTGGACTAGAGAATAGAGACAGCCCATTAGACAAGAGAATAGAGACAGACCATTAGACAAGAGAATAGAGACAGACCACGAGACTAGAAGAGTTAATAGAGACAGCCCATTGGACTAGAGAATAGCGACAGCCCATTGGACTAGAGAATAGAGACAGCCCATTAGACAAGAGAATAGAGACAGACCACGAGACTAGAAGAGTTAACAGAGACAGCCCATTGGACTAGAGAATAGAGACAGCCCATTAAAAATAGAGAATAGAGACAGCTCATTAGACTAGAGAATAGAGACAGACCACGAGACTAGAGAATAGAGACAGACCACGAGACTAGAGAATAGACACAGAACTATGATAGACAAATATCACCAGTTAGACAGCCAATACACCCAGATAACATACTGTATGGTCAGAAGGGTAGTTTAAAGCATTATTTTTGTAAAACTCAGACCATCACCTTAATCATAACCATCATCATCATCATCATCACCATCACCATCACCATCATCACTATCATCACCATCACCATCATATTCCTATTTTTCTGCTTCATCATCATCTTCATCACCATCATCATCATCACCATCATCATCATATTATTATTTTGTATCGTCATCTTCGTCACCATCTTATTCTTAATCATCATCATCATCATCATCATCATCATAACAACTATTGTCTCTTAATATTCTTCATCATAATCATCATCCTGCTAGCACTAAACAAACAGGAGAATAACTTCCTGTTTGTACTATGAGATCACCAACTACAAAAGTTACAAAAGAAGACACACACACACAACACAACACAACACACAAACACACACACACACACAAATAAAGTGATGATCCTAACTGACCTAAGACAGGGAATTTTTACTAGGATTAAATGTCAGGAATTGTGAAAAACTGAGTTTAAATGTATTTGGCTAAGGTGTATGTAAACTTCCGGCTTCAACTGTATATACATAAACACACATACAGTTGAAGTCGGAAATTTACATACACCTTAGCCAAATACATTTTCACAATTCCTGATATTTAATCCTAGTAAAAATTCCCTGTTTTAGGTCAGTTAGGATCACCACTTTATTTTAAGAATGTGAAATGTCAGAATAATAGTAGAGAGAATGATTTATTTCAGCTTTTATTTCTTTCATCACATTCCCAGTGGGTCAGAAGTTTACATACACTCAATTAGTATTTGGTAGCATTGCCTTTAAATTGTTTAACTTGGGTCAAACGTTTTGGGTAGCCTTCCACAAGCTTCCAACAATAAGTTGGGAGAATTTTGGCCCATTCCTCCTGACAGATCTGGTGTAATTGACTCAGGATTGTAGGCCTCCTTGCTCGCACACGCTTTTTCAGTTCTGCCCACAAACTTTCTACAGGATTGAGGTCAGGGCTTTGTGATGGCCACTCCAATGACTTGACTTTGTTGTCCTTAAGCCATTTTGCCACAACTTTGGAAGTATGCTTGGGGTCATTGTCCATTTGGAAGACCCATTTGCGACCAAGCTTTAACTTCCTGACAGATGTCTTCAGATGTTGCTTCAATATATCCACATAATTTTCCTTCCTCATGATGCCATCTATTTTGTGAAGTGCACCAGTCCCTCCTGCAGCAAAGTACCCCCACAGCATGATGCTGCCACCCCCGTGCTTCACGGTTGGGATGGTGTTCTTCGGCTTGCAAGCGTCCCCCTTTTTTCCTCCAAACATAACGATGGTCATTATGGCCAAACAGTTATATTTTTGATTCATCAGACCAGAGGACATTTCTCCAAAAAGTACGATCTTTGTCCCCATGTGCAGTTGCAAACTGTAGTCTGGCTTTTTTATGGCGGTTTTGGAGCAGTGGCTTCTTCCTTGCTGAGCAGCCTTTCAGTTTATGTCGATATAGGACTCATTTTACTGTGGATATAGATACTTTTGTACCTGTTTCCTCCAGCATCTTCACACGGTCCTTTGCTGTTGTTCTGGGATTGATTTGCACTTTTTGCACCAAATTTCGTTCATCTCTAGGACACAGAACGCATCTCCTTCCTGAGCTGTATCACGGCTGCGTGGTCCCATGGTGTTTATACTTGCGTAGTATTGTTTGTACAGATGAACGTGGTACCTTCAGGCGTTTGAAAATTGCTCCCAAGGATGAACCAGACTTGTGGAGGTCTACAATTTTATTTCTGAGGTCTTGGCTGATTTATTTTCTATATTCCCATGATGTCAAGCAAAGAGGCACATTTTGAAGGTAGGCCTTGAAATACATCCACAGGTACACCTCCAATTGACTCAAATGATGTCAATTAGCCTATCAGAAGCTTCTAAAGCCATTACATCATTTTCTGGAATATTCCAAGCTGTTTAAAGGCACAGTCAACTTAGTGTATGTAAACTTCTGACCCACTGGAATTGTGATACAGTGAATTATAAGTGAAATAATCTGTCTGTAAACAATTGTTGGAAAAATTACTTGTGTCGTGCACAAAGTAGATGTCCTAACCGACTTGCCAAAACTATAGTTTGTTAACAAGAAAGTGTATGTAAACTTCCGACTTCAACTGTACATTATTCAATGTCAAGTGAGACATTGTAGGTCTTCAGTGATCTTTTTAATATCTCAAACATGTTTAAAAAGCTGCCATTTCACTGTGTTTAAGGCAAACACTTAGGACCCGAGTTAAGCGCGTGTAGATGGAATGTAATTTCAATTTGATGCGCGTTTCTCTCTATGCGTATTCTGACCTTAAACTTAAGCACGACAATAGTGCTGTTCACCTGCTATTTGTTTTTATAAATGAACAATGTCTACAGATACATAGAAATACTTTTTTTATAATTTATTTTCCTTTAACTTTTCCACCCCTCCCTTAATTGGAGTAGACTAGTGAACAACAACGCTTACATACACTACCGTTCAAAAGTTTGGGGTCACTTAGAAATGTCCTTGTTTTCGAAAGAAAAGCAATTTTTTTGTCCATTAAAATAACATCAAATTGATCAGAAATACAGTGTAGACATTGTTAATATTGTAAATGGCTATTTTAGTAGGAAACGGCTGATTTTTAATGGAATATCTACATAGGCGTACAGAGGCCCATTATCAGCAACCATCATTCCTGTATTCCATTACCGTTGAGAATAGAACTGGGCTTCTTGAGACTCCAGTGCCTTGCAAAAGTATTCACCCCCTTGGTGTTTTTCCTATTTTGTTGCATTGCAACCTGTAATTTAAATGGATTTTTATTTGGATTTCATGTAATGGACATACACAAAATAGTCCAAATTGGTGAAGTGAAATGAAAAAAATAACTTCTTTCAAAAAATTCTAAAAAATTAATAACGGAAAAGTGGTGCGTGCATATGAATTCACCCCCTTTGCTATGAAGCTCCTAAATAAGATCTGGTCCAACCAATTACCTTCAGAAGTCACATTATTAGTTAAATAAAGTCCACCTGTCTGCAATCTAAGTGTCACATTATCTGTCACATGATCTCAGTATATATACACCTGTTCTGAAAGGCTTCAGAGTCTGCAACACCACTAAGAAAGTGGCACCACCAAGCAAGCGACACCATGAAGACCAAGGAGCTCTCCAAATAGGTCAGGGACAAAGCTGTGGAGAAGTACAGATCAGGGTTGGGTTATAAAAAAATATACGAAACTTTGAACACCCACGGAGCACCATTAAATCCATTATTAAAAAATGGAAAGAATATGGCACCACAACAAACCTGCCAAGAGAGGGCCGTCCACCAAAACTCACGGACCAGGCAAGGAGGGCATTAATCAGAGAGGCAACAAAGAGACCAAAGATAACCTTGAAGGAGCTGCAAAGCTCCACAGCTCCATAGGACCACTTTAAGCCGTACACTCCACAGAGCTGGGCTTTACGGAAGAGAAAAAATTAGAAAACACGTTTGATGTTCGCCAAAAGCCATGTGAGAGACTCCCCAATCATATGAAAGAAGGTACTCTGGTCAGATGAGACAACAATTTAGCTTTTTGGCAATCAAGGAAAACGCTATGTCTGGCCGCAAACCCAACACCTCTCATCACCCGCGAGGATGTTTTTCATCGTCAGGGACTGGGAGACTTGTCAGAATTGAAGGAATGATGGATGGCACTAAATACAGGGAAATTCTTGAGGGAAACCTGTTTCAGTCTTCAAGATTTGAGACTGGGACGGAGGTTCACCTTCCAGCAGGACAATGACCCTAAGCATACTGCTAAAGTAACACTCGAGTGGTTTAAGGGGAAACATTTAAATGTCTTGGAATGGCCTAGTCAAAGCCCAGACCTCAATCCAATTGAGAATCTGTGGTATGACTTAAAGTTTGCTGTACACCAGCGGAACCCATTCAACTTGAAGGAGCTGGAGCAGTTTTGCCTTGAAGAATGGGCAAAATTCCCAGTGGCTAGATGTGCCAAGCTTATAGAGACATATATATTTTTATTTTATATATTTTAGTCATTTAGCAGACGCTTATCCAGAGCGACTTACAGTTAGTGAGTGTATACATTATTTTTTTTATTTTTTTTCATACTGGCCCCCCGTGGGAATCAAACCCACAACCCTGGCATTGCAAACGTCATGCTTTACCAACTGAGCTACATCCCTGCCGGCCATTCCCTCCCCTACCCTGGGCCAATTGTGCGCCGCCCCATGGGTCTCCCGGTCGCGGCCGGCTACGACAGAGCCTGGATTCGAACCAGGATATCTAGACCACTGCGCCACTCGGGAGATCCCAAGAGACTTGCAGCTGTAATTGCTGCAAAAGTATTGACTTGGGGGGGGGAATAGTTATGCACGCTCAAGTTTTCCTGGTTTTTTTGTCTTATTTTTGTCTTATTTCTTGTTTGTTTCACCCCAAAAAAAATTTGCATCTTCAAAGTGGTAGGCATGTTGTGTAAATCAAATGATACAACCTCCCCAAAAATCCATTTGAATTCCCGGTTGTAAGGCAACAAAATATGAAAAATGCCAAGGGGGGTGAATACTTTCACAAGCCACTGTTGTTGAGTATCTGGAGCATCAGCAATTGTGGGTTCGATTACAGGCTCAAAATGGCCAGAAACAAATAACTTTCTTCTGAAACTCGTCAGTCTATTCTTGTTCTGAGAAATGAAGGCTATTCAATGCGAGACATTACCAAGAAACTGAAGATCATATACATTGCTGTGTACTACTCCCTTCACATAACAGCACAAACTGTCTCTAACCAGAATAGAAAGAGGAGTGGGAGGCCCCGGTGCACAACTGAGCAAGAGGACAAATACATTAGCGTGTCTAGTTTGAGAAACAGACCCCTCACAGGTCCTCAACTGGCAGCTTCATTAAATCGTACCCGCAAAACAACAGTCTCAATTTCAACAGTGAAGAGGCGACTCCAGGATGCTGACCTTCTAGGCAGAGTTGCAAAGAGAAAGCCATATCTCAGACTGGTCAATAAAAAGAAAAGATTAAGATGGGCAGTCTGAGATATGGCTTTTTCTTTTTCCACAGCAGTAGTACCACAGCTATACCACAGCAGTCACCTGGAATGCATTTTAATTAAAAGGTGTGCCTTCTTAAAAGTGAATTTCTTTCCTTCTGAATGAGTTTGAGCCATTACATACAGCCGGGAAAAACTATTGGATATCAGAGCAGCGGTAACTCACCAGCATTACGACTAGGAATACGACTTTCCCGAAGCAGATCCTTTGTTTGCTCTCCCCAGGGCAATTGAACTGATTCCAGCAGCTGACCCAAAACATAGCCGGCGGAGGAGAGGCACTCGGAGCGGCCTGCTGGTTCGACTTAGGAGGCGAGTACACCACCCACCACTTCCAAGTATACTAGTCGCTAATGTTCAGTCTTTGGATAACAAGGTCAACGAGCTCAGGGCAAGGATTTCTTTCTAGAGAGACATCAAGGCCTGAAACATACTTTGTTTCATGGAAACATGGTTCTCTGGGGATATTCTGTCGAAATCGGTCCAGCCAGATTGGTTCCCAGTTCATTGCGCAGATAGAAATAAATATCTCTCCGGGAAGCAGAAGGGCAGAGGTGTGTGTTTCATGATTAACGACTCATGGTGTAATTGTAGTAACATACAGGAACTCAAGTCCTTTTGTTCACCTGACCTAGAATACCTCACAATCAAATGCCGACCATATTATCTCCCAAGATAATTTATTAGGTTATAGTCACGGCCATGTATATCCCCCCTCAAGCCGATACCACGACGGCCCTCAAAGAACTTCACTGGACTTTATGCAAATTGGAAACCACATATCCTGAGGCTGCATTTATTGTAGCCGGGGATTTTAACAAAGCAAATTTGAGGACTAGGCTGCCAAAGTTCTATCAACATATTGACTGTTGTATTCGGGCTGCTAAAATCCTTGACCATTGCTACTCGAACTTCCGGGATGGTTATAAGGCCCTCCCCCACAATCCTTTCGGGCAAATCTGACCACGACTCCATTTTGCTCCTCCTTTCCTATAGGCAGAAACTCAAACAGGAAGTACCCGTGCTAAGGACTATTCAACGCTGGTCTGACCAATCGGAATCCACACTTCAAGATTGTTTTGATCACGCGGACTGGGATATGTTCTGGGTAGCTTGCAAAAATAATTTAGACGAATACACTGAAACGGTGACTGAGTTTATCTGGAAGTGTATAGGTGATGTTGTGCCCACTGCGACTATTAAAACCTACCCTAACCAGAAACCGTGGATAGATGGCAGCATTCGCGCAAAACTGAAAGCGCGAACCACCGCATTTAACCATGGCAAGGTGACTGGGAATATGGCAGAATACAAACAGTGTAGCTACTCACTCCGCAAGGCAATTAAACTGGCAAAACATCAGTATAGAGACAAAGTGGAGTCGCAATTCAACGGCTCAGACATGAGACGTATGTGGCAGGGTCTACAGACAATCACGGACTACAAAAGGAAAACCAGCCACGTCGCCGACACCGACGTCTCGCTGCCAGACAAGCAAAACACCTTCTTCGCCCGCTTTGAGGATAACACAGTGCCACTGACGAGGCCCACTACCAAGGACTGTGGCCTTTAAGCCTGCTTAACCACCGCAAGGCTGCCGGCCCAGACGGCATCCCTAGCCGCGTCCTCAGAGCATGTGCAGACCAGCTGGCTGGTGTGTTTACGGACATATTCAATCTCTCCCTATCCCAGTCTGCTGTCCCCACATGCTTCAAGATGGCCACCATTGTTCCTGAACCCAAGAAAGCAAAGGTAACTGAACTAAATGACTATCGCCCCATAGCACTCACCTCTGTCATCATTTTTACATTTTAGTCATTTAGCAGACGCTCTTATCCAGAGCGACTTACAGTTAGATCATGAAATGCTTTGAGAGACTAGTCAAAGATCATATCACCTCTACCTTACCTGTCACCCTAGACCCATTTCAATTTGCTTACCGCCCCAATAGATCCACAGACGATGCAATCGCCATCACACTGCACACTGCCCTATCCCATCTGGACAAGAGGAATACCTATGTAAGAATGCTGTTCATTGACTATAGCTCAGCGTTCAACACCATAGTGCCCTCCAAGCTCATCATTAAGCTCGAGGCCCTGGGTCTGAACCCCGCCCTGTGCAACTGGGTCCTGGACTTCCTGACGGGCCGCCCCAGGTGATGAAGGTAGGAAATTGTACCATATTTCCCATATAGTGCACTGCTTTTGACAAGATTCCTATGGGCCCTGGTCGAAAGTAGTGCACTACATAGGGAATAGGGTGCCATTTTGGTACGCACATCCAGATAACCATCAACTGAAACTCACAGTGACTAGGACCACTTTGAGAGCTGTAGAGACAAGATGTGCACCCCTGTCAACATTAGCCTATCTATGTCAATATCTACCCATTTAGGCAAAGGATGGGGGTTTTTTAGGCAAAGGGTTGGTTGGTTGGTTGGTTGGATGGATGGATGGATGGATGGATGGATGGATGGATGGATGGATGGATGGATGGATGGATGGGTGGATGGATGGGTGGATGGATGGATGGATGGATGGATGGATGGATGGATGGATGGATGGATGGATGGATGGATGGATGGATGGATGGATGGATGGATGGATGGATGGATGTGTGAGCGGGAAAGAAAAACGGGGATACAGAGAGATAAAAAATATATATATTTTAATAAAATTTACTCAATACACATCATTTACAGATTTCCCAGTCTATTTATATATTTTAAATGCTTTCGATGGTGCAAAACAAGTTTTTTAAAAATGTGAATGTAGTCCTATACATGTCTGTTCTATTCATTATGATTCCAGAATGCTACTGCCAGAGGATTTGACCTTCCACCCCTCCCCCGGTGACCCCCAGGGCTCCTTTCACTTCCGGGTCATAGTAGAAACCTGCCGCAGGATCAGAATTCAACTGAAACAAGTCCCACGATTGCTGGACAGAGAGGAGGCGGGCATGTCCTCTCTGATTAGGGGTGGAGTTGATGACAGTTACACTGTTGCTATTGGTTATGGTATTGGTGTTTGGAATGTTTGGAACACTGATGTTGTTGTTGTTGATGATGGTGTGAGCACCACCAGTGCGGTGGTTGCTGTTGTTGTTGATGGGGCCTGCGAGGTAGGCCTGACCTGAAGCCTGGCGCTGGGGTAGATTGGTACCCAGGTTGGGGTTGAGGTTCTGGGCTGGGTTTAGGCCGAGGCCTGGGTGTCTCCAGTCGTCCTGCTGCTGCCGATGGATCTTCATATGGGCGTTACGACTCTTTATCTTGTAGAACATCCTATAGAGAGGCCGGGAGGGAGGGAGGAAAAGAAGGAGGGAGGGCAAGGAAGAGATGAAGAAAGATTATTTAAAAATTACAATATCTGCCCAAAGACCGATATTCAAACTCAGGCAGGGTGTATAGATCATTCAGTCATCGGGTTGGGCAAACTCACTTTCCACACTGCTTACAGGGGAAGCTGGTAGCCAACGACGGTGCTGGAACCGCCCCTTCCATAGGTTTAGAGAGGGACACCACCTGTAAAAGGATATTTGAATACCATAGAATCTCTCTATTCTCTCTAGAAGGAGACATTCTGACTTTGAGTCTCAATAGAGCATGAGCCAGCGAATCAGAAGATGATCTAGTGAATTAGAACACGACTCAACGAATCAGAGTATGACTAAAGATTCGTCAGCTGTTCCTAATTATTTCACCAGAAACCAGAAGGCATCATACGTAAGGGCGCATTGCTGACAGCAGAGGGAAAGAGATGGACGGACATAGGGACAAATAGAGAGAGCGCGAGAGAGATGGAGGGAGGTTTAGTGTGAGACGAATAGAAAGAGAGAGATGGAATGAGGCAATGAGATGACAGAGATCATAACAGGGTCAACAACGATGCACGCTTCCTTACACTCGTCCGCTCCTCCATCCCTCGCTCCTGCTCCCTCTGTTTGTCAGGAAGTCTTTTGGAGAGGTAGTAGAATTCTACACACTGGGACACACACTTAGTCTGCACCTGCAACTCACACACAAACACACACACACACAACCAAAAAACACCAACAACACAAAACCCCAAAACACACCCAAAACCAAAACAAAAAACCCCACACACAAAACACACACAACCCACAAACACCCCACCACACACTTTTTTAGAAACCCAAAATCAATGCCTTTTTACATACAACAGATTTGGAAAACATTTTTTTTATTTTGGGAAAATTTAACTTTTAAAACCCTTTTTTTGGGTAGAAAAGTCTTTTTTTGTTTATCTTCCAAAACCCTTTACCCGCCCGAACCTCTCAGCCCCGCTCCACACATCAAACCCCCAAGTACCCAAGAGAGAGAAAAGAGAAGGAGTAGGAAGGAGAAGGATAGAGAGAGAGGAGAGAGAGGTAGAAAATTTTTTAGAAAACGAATCTATTTATTAAAAAAAACAGAGAAAAATAAACGATTTAAAAAAGAAAAATAGAAAAAAATAAGATATAAAAAACAGAGCCCCCCCCTCCTCTCTTCCCCCCTCTCTCTCTCCCCCTCTCCCCTCTCTTTTTTCTCTTTTCTCTCTCCCTTTTCTCTCTCCCCTCTCTCTCCCCTTTCCCCCTCTCTCTCTCCTTTTCTCCCTGCTCTCTTTTTCTCTCCCTCTCTCCCCTCCCCTTTTTCTCTCTCTCTCTCTCCTTTTTCTCTCTCTCTCCCCCCCCCTCTTCTCTCTCTCCCCTTTTTCTTCTCTCTCCTCCCCCCTTTTTCTTCTCTCCTCTCCCTCTCTCTCTCCTCCCTCTCTCCCCCCTCTTTTCCTCTCTCTTCCCCCCGCCCTCTCTTTATCCCTCTCTTTTCTCTCTCTCTGCTTTTTTCTCCCCCCCCCCCCCCTTTCTCCTCCGGCTCTCTCCTTGTTTTTTTTCCTTCTGGTTTCTTTTTTAATTCCCCCTTTCCCCCCTCTTTTCTGGTCGCGCCTCTCCCCCTCTCCCCCTCTCTCTCGCCACCTTTCTCCCCCTTTCTCCTAGCCGCTAAAAACCCCTCCTCACTCTCTCCCTCTCCTTGGGCCCCATTTTGGTCTTCCTTTTTTTCTTTTCCTCTCTCTCTCTCTCTCTCTCTCTCTTCTCTCTTTTTTTCCTCCTCTCTCTCTCTCTCTTTCTTTTCTTTCTCTCCCTCTCCCCTCTCCCCTCTCCCCTTTTCTCTCCCCTCTCCCCTCCCTCTCTCTCTCTCTCTCTTTTCCCCTTGGGGAAAAGGGGATTTGTTTTAATGGGTTTTTTTTCCCTTTCTTTGGCCTGTTAACCCAAACCCCAAAATTTGGGAATTTAAACACAACATTTTAAATTTTTTGAATTTTTTAAAGGCCCTTTCCTACACAAAATTTAAACAGATGTTTTTTGCGGGGGGTGGGAAAAAGCTTTTGAACCAAAAATGTTTTCCCCCAAAACCAAAAGCCCATTGAATTTTAATTGAAGAGGAAAGAGAAAGACAAAAAACCCCCTCTTTTTTTTTTTTTTTTTTTTTTTCTTTTCCAAAATTTTTGGTTTTTTCTTTTTTCTTCCCCTTTTCCCCCCTTCCTTCTCTTTTTTTTTCTCTTTCTCCCGAAATTTTTAAAAGATAGAAGAAGAAAAAGAAAAAGAAAAGAGATATAGGGTAGAGGAAAGAATTTTAAAAGAAAAAATATTTATTTCCATTTGTTAGGAGGGGGTTTTCCCCCCTTTTTTGGCCTATTTTAGGCTCTATTTTTTTTTTTTGTATCCCCCTTTTTCCTCTTCTTCCCCCGCCTTTCCCCCCTTTTCCCCCCCGCCCCCTTTTCTCTCCTCTCTCCTCTTCCTTTTCTCCTCTTTTCTCTTTTCCCCTTCCTCTCCTTTCCCCAAAAGGGAAAAAGGGGTTTTCTCTCCAAAAATTTTCAGTATTAACCAAAAAGGGGGGTTTTTTGAAAGTGTTTGGGTTTTGGGTTTTGGTTTAGGGGTCCGGGGTTGGTTTTAAACCCAAATACTCCCTGTAAAGAACCTGCCCCCCCGACCCAAAAAAACACACCACCCCCCAAAACACCCCCCCACCCCCCTGCCCACCCTTTTTGCGGTGTACTAAAAAACCCCGATACACCCTGTATAAAAAACATCACTCCTAGTCTAATAAACCCAAAAGCAAGGGGGGGGTCTCTGAAATTGGTTTCCAAATTAAAAAAACGCTAGGGGGCCTTTTTTTTTAAATTTTGTGGGCCCGGCTACCCAAAGGTTTGTTCTGTTTTTTGAGATAAAGATAACTGAAATGACATTTGGGCCCAGACTACAAATAATTATAAAATTGGGGCTTTGAACCTACCGGGGACATTATAGGGGGGTCTAGACCCACGTACAGGAAAAGGGGGGGTTTTAAAACTACAGGGACCTTTTTTGTGGGGCTAGACTACTACATTATAGGGGGGTCCCAAAACCCCATCTGGATATGGGTCCCGACCACAGTTTTTGTTTTTGGGTCCCAGACCCACAGTACTTTAGTGGGGCTACTCAGTCAAATTTTAGTGGGGGGCTTTTAAAATACAAAAACCTTAATTTTGGGTCTGACCCAAAGTAACTGTATATTTGGGTTCCAAACCCACCCCTTACCCATTAAAAAAGTGGGTCCCAACCCCAGTACTGTTTTGGGGGGGTCCCCATAAACCCCAAGGTTTCTTTTTATGTGGGTCAGACCAAACTTTAATAGTGGGGTAGACTACAGTAATTTATAAAAATGGGTCCCAGACTAAAAGTACTGTATAGTGGGTCTGACCACAGTACATTATAGTGGGCAGAAATACATTCTGTATAAGGGGGTCCCCGAAACCCCCGTACGTATAGTGGGTCAGACTACAATACATTATTGGGTCCCAGACTAAAGTACTGGTTTGTGGGTTTGATACAGTAAATGTATAGTGGGGCTAAATAAAAGTCCCTTATAGTGGGGCTAAACTACGTAACATTTTAGTGGGGCCCCAGACCCCAGTACTTTAGGGGGGTCTAGACCCCATCCCTTATAGTGGTTTTAGACTACATACATTATAGTGGGTTTTAGACTACGTACTGTTTAGTGGGGGCTAGACAAAAAGTAACCCTTTAAATGGGTCTAGACTACAGTACTGGGATTTTTGGGTCTAAATACAGCAAATTATAGTGGGGGGCTAACCATATTTTAAATTTTATGTGGGTCTAGACCAAGTACATTAATGGGGCTAGAACCCCCAGTACTGTATAGTGGGGCCCGCCCAAAAGTACATTATAGTTGGGGCTAGAAAAAGTACTGTTTTATGGGTCTAACCACAGTACTGTAAAAGTTGGGGCCCAGACTACATTTCCTTATAGTGGGTCAGACCCCAGTCTGTATAGGGGGTTTTAACCACTACATTTAGTGGGGGCCCCAACCACAGTATGTAAGTGGGGGTAGACCACAGTACATTATAGTGGGTCTAGACTACAGTTCATTATAGTGGGTCTAGACCACAGTAACTGTATAGGGGTCTAGACCACAGTACTGTTTTAGTGGGTCTGGCTACAGTACTGTATAGTGGGTCTAGACCACGTACTGTATAGTGGGTTTTAACTACAGTACTGTATAGTGGGTCTAGACCACAGTACATTATAGTGGGTCTAGACTACAGTACTGTATAGTGGGTCTAGACTACAGTACATTATAGTGGGTCTAGACTACAGTACTGTATAGTGGGTCTAGACTACAGTACTGTATAGTGGGTCTAGACTACAGTTCTGTATAGTGGGTCTAGACTACAGTACATTATAGTGGGTCTAGACCACAGTACTGTATAGTGGGTCTAGACCACAGTACATTATAGTGGGTCTAGACCACAGTACTGTATAGTGGGTCTAGACTACAGTACATTATAGTGGGTCTAGACTACAGTACATTATAGTGGGTCTAGACCACAGTACTGTATAGTGGGTCTAGACTACAGTACTGTATAGTGGGTCTAGACTACAGTACATTATAGTGGGTCTAGACTACAGTACTGTATAGTGGGTCTAGACCACAGTACTGTATAGTGGGTCTAGACTACAGTACTGTATAGTGGGTCTAGACCACATACATTAATGGTCAGACTACAGTATGTTAGTGGGTCTAGACTACAGTACTTATAGTGGTCTAACTACAGTACTGTATAGTGGGTCTAGACTACAGTACTGTATAGTGGGTCTAGACTACAGTACATTATAGTGGGTCTAGACCACAGTACTGTATAGTGGGTCTAGACCACAGTACATTATAGTGGGTCTAGACCACAGTACTGTATAGTGGGTCTAGACTACAGTACATTATAGTTGGTCTAGACTACAGTACATTATAGTGGGTCTAGACACAGTACTGTATAGTGGGTCTAGACTACAGTACTGTATAGTGGGTCTAGACTACAGTACATTATAGTGGGTCTAGACTACAGTACATTATAGTGGGTCTAGACCACAGTACATTATAGTGGGTCTAGACTACAGTACATTATAGTGGGTCTAGACCACAGTACTGTATAGTGGGTCTAGACTACAGTACTGTATAGTGGGTCTAGACTACAGTACATTATAGTGGGTCTAGACCACAGTACTGTATAGTGGGTCTAGACCACAGTACTGTATAGTGGGTCCATGTGTTGTGTTTCTAATGTTTAATTCAGTGTGTGAAAGCATGCAGGTCATGAAACAGGTGACATCTGTGACTCCCTGTCTAGAATCAGGTACCAACACAAAGGTGAACTGACTGACAGTAAGCTTAAAATACATCATATTGTGTGATAAATCAGCATAGAAGTCATGGGATATGTTGATGAGTGGAGATGTATAGGTTAAAGGTTAGGGATGAGGGGTCAAGGGTTACCAGCGTAATGGTAGTCTACTGCTGATGACGGGTTAGAGAAGAACAATCTCTCCAATGTGGCCTGGAGAGAGGGACGACAGAGGAGGGAAGAAAGCTGGATTAGAGAAGGAAAAGAGAAATGTTTGGAACAGAGAGTAAACAAAATAATAAATGAATGAATGAATGAATGAATGAATGAATGGATGAATGAATGAATTAATAAATGAATGGTTTCTCTCTCCTCACCAGTGTATCTCCATGACAGAGGTAGAGACAGTGTAGAGCCAGCTCTGTGTTGCTGCCCCCTCCTGGTAGACAGCTAGAGCTACACACAGACAACAACGCCTCCACTGAGATGGGAGAACGGAAGGATCAGAGAAGTGTGAATGAAAAATACACAGTCGGGTTTTTAATCTCTGATTAGCCTGAGACTCATCCAGTATAAAACATAGACCCCTCAAACTCATCTCTGGACCTGGAAGCCAGTTCCACTGTGTTTTTTAATTGTTCCCCTCTAATCAGGGACTGATATAGACCTGGGACACAAGATGGGAGAAATTAATTATCAGGTAGAACAGAAAATAAGCAGTCTCTGGCCTCGTAGAGTTGAATACCCCTGACATAGACCATATTGATGTCTCTGGCCTCGTAGAATTGAATACCCCTGACATAGACCATATTGATGTCTCTGGCCTCGTAGAGTTGAATACCCCTGACAGAGACCATATTGATGTCTCTGGCCTCGTAGAGTTGAATACCCCTGACATAGACCATATTGATATCTCTGTCCTCGTAGAGTTGAATACCCTGACATAGACCATATTGATGTCTCTGGCCTCGTAGAGTTGAATACCTCTGACATAGACCATATTGATATTTATGGCCTCGTAGAGTTGAATACCCCTGACATAGACCATATTGATGTCTCTGGCCCCGTAGAGTTGAATACCCCTGACATAGACCATATTGATATCTCTGGCCTCGTAGAGTTGAATGCCCCTGACATAGACCATATTGATGTCTCTGGACTCGTAGAGTTGAATACCCCTGACAGAGACCATATCGATGTTTCTGGCCTTGTAGAGTTGAATACCCTGACATAGACCATATTGATATCTCTGTCCTCGTAGAGTTGAATACCATGACATAGACCATATTGATAGTCTCTGGCCTCGTAGAGTTGAATACCCTCTGACATAGACCATATTGATATCTATGGCCTCGTAGAGTTGAATACCCCTGACATAGACCATATTGGATGTCTCTGGCCTCGTAGAGTTGAATACCCATGACATAGACCATATTGATTGTCTGGCCTCGTAGAGTTGAATACCCCTGACAGACCATATTGATGTGTCTGGCCTCGTAGAGTTGAATACCCCTGACAGAGACCATATTGATGTCTCTGGCCTCGTAGAGTTGAATACCCCTAAGATAGACCATATTGATATCTCTGGCCTCGAAGAGTTGAATACCCCTGACATAGACCATATTGATGTATCTGGCCTTGTAGAGTTGAATACCCCTGACATAGACCATATTGATGTCTCTGGCCTCGTAGAGTTGAATACCCCTGACATAGACCATATTGATGTCTCTGGCCTCGTATAGTTGAATACCTCTGACATGGACCATATTGATGTCTCTGGCCTCGTAGAGTTGAATACCCCTGACATAGACCATATTAATGATCTCAGGCCTCGTAGAGTTGAATACCCCTGACATAGACCATATGGATATCTCTGGCCTCGTAGAGTTGAATACCCCTGACATAGACATATTGATTCTTCAGGCCTCGTAGAGTTGAATACCCCTGACATAGACCATATTGATGTCTCTGGCCTCGTAGAGATGAATACCCCTGACATAGACCATATTGATGTCTCTGGCCTCGTAGAGCTGAATACCCATGACATAGACCATATTGATGTCTCTGGCCTCGTAGAGTTGAATACCCCTGACATAGACCATATTGATGTCTCTGGCCTCGTAGAGTTGAATACCCCTGACATAAACCATATTGATATATCTGTCCTCGTAGAGTTAAATACCCCTGACATAGACCATATTGATTATTCTGGCCTCGTAGAGTTGAATACCCCTGACATAGACCATAGTGATATCTCTGGCCTCTTAGAGTTGAATAACCCTGAAATAGACTATATTGGTATCTCTGGCCTCGTAGAGTTGAAAACCCCTGACATAGACCATATTGATGTCTCTGGCCTCGTAGAGTTGAATACCCCTGACATAGACCATATTGATTATTCTGGCCTCGTAGAGTTGAATACCCTGACATAGACCATAGTGATATTCTGTGCCTCTTAAGTTGAATACCCTAAAGCCTATGGTTTCTGCCTCGTAGAGTTGAATACCCCTGACATAGACCATGATTGGTGTGTTCCTGTGACCTCTATAGTTGAATTCTACCCCTGACATAGACCATATTGATGTCTCTGAACTCGTAGAATTGCATACCCCTGACATAGACCATATTGATGTTTCTGGCCTCGTAGAGTTGAATACCGCTGACATAGACCATATTGATGTCTCTGGCCTCGTAGAGTTGAATACCCCTGACATAGACCATATTGATGTCTCTGGCCTCGTAGAGATGAATACCCCTGACATAGACCATATTGATGTGTCTGGCCTTGTAGAGCTGGATACCCATGACATAGACCATATTGATGTCTCTGGCCTCGTAGAGTTGAATACCCCTGACATAGACCATATTGATGTCTCTGGCCTCGTAGAGTTGAATACCCCTGACATAAACCATATTGACATATCTGTCCTTGTAGAGTTGAATACCCCGGACATAGACCATATTGATGTCTCTGGCCTCGTAGAGATGAATACCCCTGACATAGACCATATTGATGTGTCTGGCCTTGTAGAGCTGAATACCCATGACATAGACCATATTGATGTCTCTGGCCTCGTAGAGCTGAATACCCATGACATAGACCATATTGATGTCTCTGGCCTCGTAGAGTTGAATACCCCTGACATAGACCATATTGATGTCTCTGGCCTCGTAGAGTTGAATACCCCTTGACATAGACCATATTGATATATTTGGCCTCTTAGGGTTGAATACCCCTGACATAGACCATATTGATGTCACTTATCCAAGACTTTCAGGTATAGAGAGTCATTAACATGAGTAGATGCTAAGGAAGTATGGTTGAATGCTTCTTCTTACCTTCTTCCTGAATTACAGAACTCTTCTGAAGCTCCTCCCATGGTTTCCAGAGCAACTCCTTGTTGGATGATGATTCTTCTGACCACGCCCCTGACCCCTCCTCCCTCTCTAGACAACATGGCAGCTCAGCCTGGAACCCTGGACCCACATTGATACACCTGGGAGAATGAATCAATGAATGAACGAATGAGTGAAAGAACAAACAAATGAACGAGTGATAGAAGATGAAAAAAGTGGATTTACTAAATAAATAATACTAAATCCATCCAAACTCACGGAAGTATAGAATATCCCTTCTTCTCTTCTGTCATCCTTCCCATCGCTCGTTCCCCAGCTGAAGGGGGGATGAGGGAGGAGAGGAGCCCCGTTCCCCTGCGTTGGGGGTTCAGCATAGGTAGAGGGGTGTAGTGGAGCCTTCTCCCAAACCGCTCCACCTCCCTCTGCCATCCACCTCTATTAGACTGGAGCAGACTGGGGAAGGGAGTACCTCTATACACCACTAGGGGTGCTGCTCCATGCTCTGGCAGTCCACGCGGGGGCTGGGATGGAAGAGAGGATGGGTGGAGGGATGGATGAAGGGGTGAGGCAAAGAAAAAGTTTGATTCTACCGGAGTTTAAGACTTAGTACCTTGAGCAAATAGAGGGGGTAGCAACGAACAAATGGGAAGGTAGGTAAGGACACAGCACAATACCTGACTCCTACTAACCACAGCACCATACCTATCCTACTGACACACGCACATACTGACTTCTACTGACAAACGCACCATACCTGACTCCCTACTGACACCGCACCATACCTGACTCGCACTGACACACAGCACCATATACCTGACTCCTACTGCACCACACCATACCTGACTCTATGACAGCACCATACCTGACTCCTACTGACACACAGCACCATAAACCTGCTCCTCTGCACACAGCACCATACCTGACTCCTACTGACACACAGCACCATACCTGACTCCTACTGACACACAGCAACCAACCTGACTCTACGACCACACAGAACCATACCTACTCCTACTGACACACAAGCACCATACCGACTCCAACTGACCACAGCCCAAGCTGACTCCCCCCCCCCAAAAAACCTGGAACCCCCCCCCCCCACCAGCACCCTACCTGACTCCTACTGACACACAGCAACCATTACCTGACTCCTACTACCAGCACCAGACCTGCCTCCTACTGCCCACACACACCATACCTGACTCCTACTGACACGCAGCCCCCATAACCTTCTGACTCCTACTGACACACAGCCCTACCTGACTCCTACTGAACACACACACCATACCTGACTTCCTAGTACCAGACACACAGCACCATACCTGACTCCTACTGACACACAGCACCATACCTGACTCCTACTGACACACAGCACCATATACTGCTCCTACGCGACACAGCCCATACCGACTTGACTCCACTACCAGCACTACTGACTCCTACGACACAGCAGCACCATACCTGACTCCTACTGACACACAGCACCATACCTGACTCCTACTGACACACAGCACCATACCTGACTCCTACTGACACACAGCACCATACCTGACTCCTACTGACACACAGCACCATACCTGACTCCTACTGACACACAGCACCATACCTGACTCCTACTGACCACACAGCACCATACCTGACTCCTACTAACACACAGCACCATACCTGACTCCTACTGACACACAGCACCATACCTGACTCCTACTGACACACAGCACCATACCTTACTCCTCTGACACACACACCAGACCCTGACTTCCTACTGACACACGCCCATACCTGACTCCTACTGACAACAGCAACCATACCTGACTCCTACTAACACACAGCACCATACCTGACTCCTACTGACACACAGCACCATACCTGACTCCTACTGACACACAGCACCATACCTGACTCCTACTGACACACAGCACCATACCTGACTCCTACTAACACACCATACCTGACTCCTACTGACACACAGCACCATACCTGACTCCTACTGACACACTGACACACAGCACCATACCTGACTCCTACGAACCACACAGCACCATCCTGACTTCCTACTGACCGCAGCACCATACCTGCTCTACTGACACACAGCACCCATACCTGACTCTCTATGACACACAGCACATCCTGACTCCTACTACTGCCCCACACAGCACCATACCTGACTCCTACTAACACGCAGCACCATACCTGACTCCTACTGACACACAGCACCATACCTGACTCCTACTGACACACAGCACCATACCTGACTCCTACTGACACGCAGCACCATACCTGACTCCTACTGACACACAGCACCATACCTGACTCCTACTAACACACAGCACCATACCTGACTCCTACTAACAAACAGCACCATACCTGACTCCTACTAACAGCACCATACCTGTATTATTCTCATAGTCCTGGTGTAAACCTGTCTCCGGGTAAACACTGCCTCCTGGCAGTATACACGGCCGGCGCTTGAGGGGTTGCCCTCGACGACACCAACTTCACCTGACTGCTGCAGCCAATGAGAGGGCGGGAGCTTCCACATGACGGCGGAGGGGTGGGAGGAGTGGAGTGGCTGGTGAGAGGAGGGGTAAAACTGGACTGTTCCGCTACAATCCCCCCCTGTGGTCTGGGTGAGTTCAACTGTCCCGAGAGAGTGGGGTGAGGTGAGTTTGGGAAGGGGGAGGGGTGTGGGAGGAGGACTAAGGAGCAGGGGGAAAAGGTGAGGAGGAGGAGGGGAAGAGTCTGTGTGCGAATCGTAAGCACTCGCTTTGATCCGTCCCATTCTTCCTCCTCCCACTCCTCCTCCTCCTCCCACTCCCACTCCGAATCCTAAAACCCCACTTCCAGAATTCCCATTTGGAATTCTGCTGCCGGAGATGTTGCGTCTGAAGAAGAATGCCTCTGAGAAGGAGTCCAGTTTCTGCTGGTACACCCCAACACCACCACCACTAGCACCACCTGCTGCCTGGGAGTAGGAGTACAGAGAGGCCTTGTCCTGGGGGTAGCCCCCAACCCTCTCCCTGCCTTCCCAAGCCACAGAACCCCGATCTGGGGGAGAGGGACTCACCCAAAGCCCAGGCTTCAACTGGGCCTCTGGAGGATCCAGGTTGGATATTTTATTCCCAAAATCATCACAGTCTCCTTCTGTGTCATCAACCCTTCTCAAACTAACCCTCTTTCCTGTATCATCAACCCTATTGCCAAAGCTATCACTACCATTATAGAGATGACCAGTTCTATTAATTCCACCATCATGGCTACCGGTAGTGGTGTCTCTATAATCACTATTACCATCTCCCCTCTCCTCACACACATACTCTCTACTGTAGAACACATCGTCCCTGTTACTACAGACTTCATCCGTTCTGTGAAAGACATCATCCCTGTTACAGCCCTCATCCGTTCTGTGAAAGACATCATCCCTGTTACAGCCCTCATCCGTTCTGTGAAAGACATCATCCCCGTCGCAGCCCTCATCCCTCTGGCTAGCATAGCCAAGGCTCTGACTTTCAAAATGGAGGCCGAAATCATCCCCTTGACCTACACCATCATCTGCGACCCCCCTATTAAAGTAGCTAGCTTTCTGCGCTCCAAAACAACCACCTCTACCATCAAAATCACTACTGTTATCACCTATGCTATGTCCATGAATGTCTACATAACCTCCTCTTCCACCACCCCCACCCCTGTAGCTGTCCCTGCTCCCCCCAGAGTAGGGGCTTGAATCGGGGTGAGTGGTCCTGGGTGCTGCCTCTATTCCAGTTCCTCTATATTGCTCCAGGGGAGTCTGGAGCTCCAGGGGGTGGTGGCAAGGTGTGAGGCCCAGACCGGGGCTCCCGATGCTGGGGTGGAGGTGTTGGGAGAGGTGGTGGGTGTGATGCTGGAAGTATGGGTCCTGGTAAGGATGGGGGGTTGGAGGTCGGAGGGGTGTTCTCTCAGCCATAGGGTAGTCTCTGGTCTCTCTGGGTGTGTTCTGCGCTGGGATAGACGGATCTCTAGTGGTTGAGATGAAGAGGTGCAAGAGCAGACATTGTGGTTCAGTAGGACAAAAAAAAAAGGTAAAGGACTCTAGAAAAGAGGCAGGGATGGAGAGAGAGAGACGAGGGGAACAAGGGGAAGATAAACTTACCTAGAGAAGCAGGAACTCTCTTAAATACAAAAACCACAACCTTCGCAGATGAGAAAACACAGTCGTTAAAACTTAGTGGCAAACAAATCTCACACACAGAAACTGGCCTTTAGATACAGGGCCATTATATCTGTTTCAATCAAACCCCACATCAAGCCAACTCCCCTGTCTCTCTCTCCTTTACGGCACTCACTCACTTGATCCATACCGCTATCTTCATTTTTCTCTTTCACTTTGCCCGTTTTAAAAAGTCACGTTAGACGAGACTCAGAAAAGAGCTGTGTTTTAACTTCATTAAGTTGTTTCTTTCTCACACGAAGACGCCCTTGTTACCATACCTTCTATTTTTTTCCCTTTTTTCCCCCTCTTTCTCTCCTTTTTTGTTCTTTCTTATAAGTTTTTCTCGTTTTTCTCTTTCCGACAAAAAACAGGTCTCAAATGTATCACACTGTTTCCCCCCCCCCCCATGGGGCCCCCCCCCCCCCCCCCCCCCCCCCCCCCCCCCCAAAAACAAAAACCCACAC